ATTCTGTGTCTGTTGATTGGAGTATTTATTCCATTGACATTTCAGCTAATTATTGATAAATATGTATTTATTGCCATTTTAAACCTTGTTTTCTAGTTGATTTTATAGTACTTCTGTGTTCATTTCTTCTTTATATTTTTCTATTTGTGATTTGATGGTTTCCTTTCGTATTATGTTGTTTCTTTTTCTTTTTTGTGAATCTACTGTATGTTTTTAATTTGTGATTATTCTGGTTTTGAAGTATGTTAACCCATAACTACATCTGTTTGCTTTAGACATAGTCATGTAAGTTCAAACACATTCTAAAAAATCTATAGTTTTGTACTCCCCTCCCCCACATTTTGTGATTTTGACGTTCTATCTTACATCTTCGTGTTTATCCTTTTGCTGTTAATTGTAGTTATAATCACTTCTAAAAATTTTTTTGATTGTTTTTAAATTTATGTACTGGCTTATTTAAGTGATCAATCCTGTTATATTTTTGTCTTTCCTATTGTGATTTTCCCTTTCCTATAGATTCTTGCTTCTTTTCTATTTAGAGAAGAGATTTCAATATTTCTTTTAGGTTATGTTTAGTATTTAGCTATATTCTTCTTGCTTTTGCTTGTCTGGGAAACTCTTTATCTCTTCTTTTATTCTAAATGATAAGCTTGCTGGGTAGAGTATCCTAGGTTGCTGGATTTTCCCTTGCAGGAAGTTCAGTTAGGTGGCAGCTGTCAGCACTGGTCTGTCTGCACAGATAGCTAGGAAGCCAGCAGGTGCATGCTCTTTCTGAGCAGAGTCCAGGCTCCTCCCAGCTTGCAGGGGGGCTTTTCAGGGCAAGGACCTGCCCATGTGTACCCTCCCTCCTTCGCAGATTCCTCCCACAGGCCTTGGATCTGTCCTGATGCCTTTTTTTTTTTCTGTCCTACCAAGTTACTTGGGGATCTTCCTTACAGCTTTGGTGGTATAAGAGATCTTCTGCCAATTTCCAGTTAGTTTTCTGTGAAAACCGTTCCACCTGTAGATGTATTTTTGATGTGTTTGTAGGTGAGCTCCACTTTGTCATCTTGATCCACCTACAAGCTTAATATCTCTTAAATTCACTTGTACTTTCCATCTCTTTGTTTGCTAAGTGAGATTCAGATATTTTTCCTTTTTTATGGTTTTTAAAAATTTGGGGCTTTTTTTTTTTTTTTTTTTTGGTGGCACACGGGCCTCTCACTGTTGTGGCCTCTCCCGTTGTGGAGCACAGGCTCCGGACGTGCAGGCTCAGCGGCCATGGCTCATGGGCCCAGCCGCTCCGCAGCATGTGGGATCTTCCCGGACCAGGGCACGAACCCGTGTCCCCTGCATCAGCAGGCGGACTCTCAACCACTGCGCCACCAGGGAAGCCCAAATTTGGGGCTTTTTATCTATTCAGAATGAATTTTTTTGAGAACCCTCCACTGTAAAGATTGTAACTTCATTTTTTGAAGGGTAAATTTAAAATGATTAACTATTTGAACACAGGTATGAATTGCATTTTTACCACTGCTGAACTAAATGATGATAACTGCTGCTGGTGGGATTGTCAGCTAGGCATGCACAGGTGACTTCTTCAGTCCTGCTTTGGCATCTCTTGTTTTTGATCTTTTGCTTCTTTTGTTTTCTTGATTGTTATAGAGGCTTATTTTCTACTTCTGCAGTTTGTTCCTTGAGCAGTTAGTCTAGTCTGCTGGATATTTCATTTCCATAGGTCGTTTCTTTCACTGTTATGTCTGTTGTCACATTTGCCTTCCCCGTGGCTATATATATAGCTCATTTGAACTGATGATGTCTAATAGCAGTTATTTTTTTTCATAGCTTTTAAAATTATATGCCCTATATATCCTTGTAAGGAAGAGGGGCATTTTACTTTGCCTCAAGGAGGCCTTGTGTTTTTTGGAAATAGTATTTACCTGGCAGTGACCCACTCCTTATGGAAAACAAACTCCTTCTCTATTAACGTTTAATTCTTTTCCATGTTTTTAACCAACAAACATTGAAAGAAACTACTGTAAATAGGCTTTCAGTAATGTAGTAGTAGGTTGTGCGGGAGGGGAAGTATTCTACAGTCCTGTGATTAGGTCTCATTCTTTTGGTGAGCCTGTGCCCCATACTGTTCTGTGAACTTCACTTCACTAGTGGTACTCAGTCTTTTTTTCCACTCTTAGGTGGTACAGCATGGCTGGAGGGAGCTGGAGTTGTATATTTCTCTTCCCCCCACATGAAAGACTAGAGCAGGTTAGAGTTGGTTATTTCCCTTTAGCCAGGTCAGTTAGGCTCTGATAAAACCCCAGTAGTTTAGGCTCTGTTAAATTGTTTCTCCAGGCCTTGGTAAGAAAAACAGTGCTCTGGCATATCTCAAAATTGTTCCTTTTCCCCTCCCATGCTGGAATCACAAAGGGGTTTTTCTTTGATATTCACTGCGAGGACCTGTTAGAATTAATCTTTCAAAGAGCCAAAGATAAATAAACAAAATAAAATAAAAATAATTGCTCTAATTACTTATAGCTCATACATAGTCTTCAGACTAGCCATAACTTACTCAAAATAGCACAGCCTACAAAAGCTTTCCTATATTATTGTTTTCCGTAAGAAAAGAAAAAACATTAGAGTCTCAGATTTTTAGTCTCCGTTACAAACTAAAGAATGAATGTTCTTTTAATTTTTCAGCAATGCATGTTGCTCTCCACTCTTTTTTTTTTTTTTTTCTGTACGCGGGCCTCTTGCTGTTGTGGCCTCTCCCGTTGCGGAGCACAGGCTCTGGACACGCAGGCTCAGCGGCCATGGCTCACGGGCCCAGCCGCTCCGCGGCATGTGGGACCAGGGCACGAACCCGCAACCCCTGCATCGGCAGGCGGACTCTCAACCACTGCGCCACCAGGGAAGCCCAACTCTCCACTCTTGAGTAATAACTAAACCAACATTTCCTTTTGTAATAGTTTCATACCTAAAATAAAACGTAAGAGAATAGAATGTTTCTCTGAAGATGACATTTTGTAATTCATTATTAAAGCCTAAAGTCTAATAGATAAAGACACCATTAATAGTTTGTCATTCAGTCAGTGTAAGAAAGGCAGGATTCTTTCATCTAAGATTTACCCAGTTGTTTGAAAAGCAATAACAGGTATGTTGTGTTTGAAAATAGTTTAGGTTTAATTGTACATTATGCTTCTTCAAGACATTTGATTGGTTATCTTTCCTTAAAAAGGTAATCCTAAAATAAATTTTATTTTCCTAGGAGATATCTATAGACAAATATAAAGCCTAGATTTATTTTGGGTGCGACCTAGTAAAGATTTACTTCAATTCATCACATGATGGTAAATTAGAATGTCAAGATAGCATACCTAATTTGATATTTTACATTGTTCCCCATTGATTTCATAGCAACCCAATATAGTTTTGAAGACAATTAGAGTAATCTAGTCAATGATACTGTGGGCTAGCTACAATCGCAGATAAAAGAGAAATATTTCACAGCAAAAAGTCTAGGGAGGAGTATGGTAATACATAAAATGTTCAGTTATCTAAGGGTATTTTAAACAAAGTGCCGTTTAACACCATTTACTGCTTAAAGAATTTCAAAAAGAAGTATGTTCATGTCACTGAATTAGTTATCTACAGGGTTAACATTGACTTGTGTTCAGTGACGCAAAGAATATTCTTCCTTTTAGATTTATTATTAAGGAAATATAGGAGATGGTACTCATTCTTCACTTTCTTACATCCAGTCTGTGAAATGCTCAGCACTGAAAAAATTCATAACAACAAATCATAGTGCAATTGATGAATTCTTTAAACCAGTATTGTATTATCCCTGCACAGCCTACTATATTGAGTTCCTGATGTTCACTGAGAAGCTTGCACTATTCTTATTCGCAGCTTTCTGAGGAACATTTCTGTTTCCAGTAACATTAAAACACTGAGTGGCAGTTAAGTTATTACCACAACAAAAATGAAATTGAGACCGCCAGAAGTCTACCGTTTTTTTTTTCCTCTGAGGTTTTTCTAGCATGCCATGAGAAGGCATCATTCATGGTACTTTGTACCTATGCACTATCTTATATGGATAAATAAGTCCCAAGACAAAGTGTACCTTTGCTAGCAAAACATCAGTGAAACTAATTTTAAAAAATCTCAGCCTGATATAAGGTACTATGATTGTGAATTAAAAATCTGAAACATCACATAGCAGCTATTATGACTATTATGGCAGAGTGTAATATGTTCATCCTTGGAAAAGACATCACAGTATTCGCAGGCTTAGTTGAGGCTCCTAGTCTATACATCAGTTAAGCAAAAAAAGGTTGAGCTTCAGTGAGTGATTCTTGAGGTGGTATTCTGCAGCCCTGAAAGTCAGAGAGAGCCTGTCCTCCTGGTTGCCTGCTAAGGCAGAGTATCCAGTTTCCATATTCCCATTCAGTTTGGCTCTTTGAGTGATGTTGCTGTTAAACATCCCATGGCCGGCAAATGCTAGTATCTTGGACCCTTGGGAAGACCATTGTCCCTGAGAGGCAGTCCAGCTGGGTTCAGCTATCCCAGGGAGTGGGTAAGCATGACTTACACTGGACATTCACAGGAAGATGCAGATTTTTTCCTTGAAGGCCCTCCCTAGGCACAACAAGAACAACTAACATTGCTCTGTATCACAGACAATGTTGTCTGTAGGCCCCAGGATCAGTTCCCGAAAGGTCTTAATACTGGCAAAGTTCTCAGGAGTGTTTAAAATGCTGACTTCGTTTTTCTCCCTGTCATGGTACCACACCTTTATTCACCCTCAAGTCAGTCCATTCATCTCCTCTTTGTTCATAATGTATGTTTTATTTGCTTTTGAAGTAATTACTGTCTCTTATTATTACATAAAATGTTTACGTTAACTATAGATGACTTTTTACTGTCTTTTTTCAGATCATATTTATTTTTCCATTAGCTTGCAATTCTATTTGAATATAAAGTCGTATAACATACTTGTTAATGATGTTCCTGCCATGCAGCTCAAAATTGTTCTGGATTGAGAACCTGTGGACAATGTTTGGAGCAGCCTGGTTGTGGCTGGTGCAACGATCCTAGTAATACAGGAAGAGGACACTGCATTGAAGGGTCTTCCCGGGGACCAATGAAGCCTGTTGGAATGCAAAATAATGAGATGGTTCTTGACACCAGTGTTTGTCCTAAAGAGAAGAACTATGAGTGGTCCTTTATCCAGTGTCCAGGTAATAAAAATGTGATGAAAGCAATTTTAGCTTCTGCTCAAGGACACTAAGAATTACTTTCCTTTCTTATAATAAAGATTTAGGAAAAAAAACAATGAAAATAAGACTCAAATTTAAAGGATTAAAAAAATTCTTTCCTATATCCATGTTTGTTTTATAGGTGGTATTACGTTTGGGATCATTAAACAGGCTGACCAGATGCATGGTACATAATTGTTAGATTTGGTTTCATGTGAACTGTTAAAAGGAAAAAGAATATTGGTTTCATACCAAATTTCTTTACTGTAGTGTAGTCTTTTATTGTTTACAATATTATACTATCTTAGAATTCAAAGGCAGCTCAGAGGATCCAGTCAGGCTAAGTATGGGAATATTTTGTATAATATCCATGATAGAGTTATTTGACCCTTGGTATTTGGTACCATTCAATTTTGAAGGTCAGTAAAGTTTTTAGAGTTTTTAAAATAGGGAGTCTGTTCTTCTATGGAATAAAATCAACCTTCTTGAAAAATTAATTTATTCAGTATATTTTTATTGAGTGCCTACTATGTGCAAAGAGTGTTTTACGTGCTAGAGACATAACAATGAACAAAAGTAGACTAAAATCACTGCATTAATTGAGCCTGTATTCGAGTTGAAATTAATAAAATTAATTACACACACATATATATGTCTATGAAGTTGGGTGGTGATAAGTGCTACTAAATAAAGCAAGGAAGGGGGCTAAAGCTTGCGATTTAAAAGGCTGGCGAGAGAGGATCTCACTTAGAAGTAATGGTTAATAAACACCTCAAGTAGATGAGGGAGTGAATCATGCTGCTGTCTGGGGAAAGAGTGTTCCAGAAGACACAAAGACTTGGGTGAGATAGTTTATTTACGAGATGAACCTAGGAAGCACAATTGAGGGAACAGAGAGTTTCAAAGTCGGGAGAAAAACCAATAATATGTACATTATTAGGCTGACTACTCTACTGGGAAATTTGAGCTCAGACACACTAGGGACCTATGAAGAACTATGCAGGGATTGGGGGTGGGGGTGGGGAATTTACCCACTAACTCTCTTCCATTGATGGTTGAGTGATGCCTCTGGGGGTATTGTACTTCTGAGTTGTGCCGGCATGTCTGATTAATAGCTTATCATGATACCAGTGAACATTCTGAGGCAAAAAAGTGGGGAGATACTGCAGAACTTGCTGTAGGTGCGGCGCTGACAGTGTGTTGCACTGAAACCAGATGGACTAAGGGAATGTGGTACTTCTACATAAACTTTGGAATATATGAAAACCAAGAAGAGGGACAAACTATTGATTCATACAACATGGCTGAATCTTAAATACCTTTTACTTAGTGAAAGAAGCCAGACCAAAAGGCTACATATTGCGCTATGGAGATGGAAAAGAGATCAGTTATTTGCCAGAAGTAGTAAAGGTAGGGATTGCCTTCAAGGGGACCTCATAATGGAATTTTTTGTGCTGTGGAACTCTTCTTTATGACACTGTGGTAGTTCATAATGACTCTATGCATTTGTCAAACCATACTGTATACCACAAAGAAAGAACTTTCCTGATGGCAAATTAAAAAAAAAAGTCAACCAGCATGTCAGGGGATCCCATAAGGGAATGCAAACTGTGAGAAATAAATTTAACTGTATTACAGATGCCATAACCTCATCAAAATAATGAGCTGACCTAAGTAGCCTTGGAAAACAGCGTTTTGGCTGGATACTGTAAAACTAAAGAAAAAAACCTACATAAACATTATATTCTGATTGGTAAATTTGTTTCTCACATAGTACAGATTAACAATTCTAACAATACTTTATATGTTTAGTAGGTTTGGACAAATATATAAATTAATTGTGTTTGATGTGAGCCAGGTTTCCCACCGTCACAGAAAGACATAGACATAGAGAATGGACTTGAGGACACGGGGTGGGAGGGGGAAGTTGGGGCAAAGTGAGAGTAGCATTGACATATATACACTACTGAATGTAAAATAGTTAGCTAGTGGGAAACAGCAGCATAGCACAGGGAGATCAGCTCCGTGCTTTGTGATGACCCATAAGGAGGATGCGAGGGAGGCTCAAGAGGGAGGGGATATGGGGACGTGTGTATGCATATGGCTGATTCACTTTGTTGTACAACAGAAGCTAACACAGTGTTGTGAAGCAATTATACTCCAATGAAGGTCTATTAAAAAAACATGCGAAGAGTAAAGACTATAAAGAACCCTGTGGGGAATTCCCTGGCGGTCCAGTGGTTAGGACTCCGAGCTTCCACTGCAGGGGCCACGGATTCGATCCCTGGTTGGGGAACTAAGATGCCACATGCCGTGCGGCATGGCCAAAAGAAAAAAAAGAAAAGAAAAGAAAAGAAAAAAGAATCCTGGTATTGATTTAGAGTATAAGCATGAATTCAAGTTTATTTTAATATTTAATATATATACGCAGAGGTATATATACATATATTTTCTAGCTCAGTTCTCCAAGAGGGCCTGGAAGCCATGATGCCCCAGTAGCAATGAGCACATTCAGTGCCCACAATCCTGGTTTCTAAATACCATTTTCCAATGAAAGGAACCAGGGCTCTCTGGAGTAATGGCTGGTTCTAGGGCTGGGGCAGGGAGAACACAAGGTGAACCTGAAGTATTGTTTAATGCCAGAAAGTAAGAAAGTGCTCAAAACAAAATAAAGGAGGATGGGAGCATGTCAAAGGGACACAGCCAACCAGAAAGAGTTCTTAATGGGTCAATCTGGGCAAAAAATAATGATTGTGTTGGATTGTAACCCAAAGAACAGAATACATATCCATGTGATTTAAGTGACTGAATAGGTAATAAATGGGTGAGAATGGATAAATATTCCTTACAGAAAATTCCAAATAATAAATGTAGAATGAATGAGGGAAATAAAAAATTGCTGTTAGAACCCCACAGTAATAAGTGCAGTAAGAATAGTCTTCTTAAGAATGTTCAAATTAGTGGGTGAAACTTTAAGGAGAAAAAATATATTTGTGTAGCTTCCAAATATCTTCCTCAAAAATATTTATTAATTACTGTGGTGGTTTGAACGTATGTCCACAAGTACCTTGACACTCATTCCCCTAGGAAGTGGAGCTTAATTTCTCTCCCCTTGAGTGTGAGTTGGACATGGTGACTCCTAGTGAATAGAGTGTAGATGTGGAAAAACTGTAACTTTACAGTGGAGGATGTAAGGCGACATCACCATAAACAAGTGATCAAGGTTAACAACACCAGTAATAAGTCATGTTAATATCACATACCCCCTGATATGATGTGGTGAGAAGGGCACCTCACTTCGGTGGTATTCTTCCCCCAAATCTATAACCTGGTTTAGTCATCAGAAAACATCAGACAAAACGACATTGAAGGACATTTTACAAAATACTTGACCAGCCCTCTAGAAAAGAATCTGCTTCCAAGCTCATTCACATGCTGGCACAATTCAGTGCCTTGGAATTGTAGGGCTGAGGTGACTGTTTTCTAGTTGGCTGTCAGCCAGTGACCACTTCGGCTCTGAAAGAATGCTCACGTTCTCTCCCTCATCCCCCTTCTGTCTCCAGAACTCGCATTGTAGAGTCTCGACAACTGAAATGGGATCACTTACACTTTGAATCTCCTTCAAGTAGAGACTAATGCCTTTTAAGGGATCATCTGACTGAGTCCATCCAGGATGATGTCCCTTTCTCAAACCCAACTGTGCCATGTAACAACCTAATCATCAGAATGACTATCCCATCATATGTTCAGGTCCCTACCACACTCAGGAGGAGGTCATTAGTGTTTGATTAAATACCTGAGGTACTATAACCCAGCTTCATCAACACATAAGACTAACCATCATACCATACAGTTTACCCATTTATAGTGTATAACTCAGTGGTTTTTAGTATATTCAGAGTTATACAACCATCACTACAGTCAGTTTAAAAACACTTTTATCATCTTTCAAAGAAACCTTGTACTTATTAGCAGTCATGGCCTGTTTAACCACCCCCACCCTTGTCAGCTATGGATTTACACATCCTGAACATTCTATCTAAATTGAGTCATATAATTGTAGTCTTCTTTTACTGGCTTCTTTCACACTGCATAGTGTTTTCAAGGTTTATCCATGTTGTGGCATATAGCAGTGCTTCATTTCTTTTTATTACCAAATAATATTCCATTGTATGACTATACTACATTTTGTTTATTCATTCATCATTTGATGAACATTTGAGTGTTTCTAATTTTTGGTTTTTAAAATAATGCATCTATGAATATTCATGTACAAGTTTATGTGTGGACATATTTTCATTACCTTGGAAATGGAATACCTAGGTCATATGGTAACCATGTTTAACCTTTTGAGGAACTGCCTGACTGTTTCAAAGCTGCTGTGTTATTTTACATTTCCACCAGCAGTGCATGAGGGTTACAGTTACTCTACACCCTTGCCAACATTGCTTATTTCACATCGTTTTTTTTTTTAATAGATCTTTATTGGAGTATAATTGCTTCACAATACTCTGTTAGTTTCTGTTGCACAACAAAGTGAATCAGCCATATGCATACACATGTCCCCATATCCCCTCCCTCTTGAGCCTCCCTCCCACCCTCCTTTTGGGTCCTCACAAAGCACGGAGCTGATCTCCCTGTGCTATGCGGCTGCTTCCCACTAGCTAACTATTTTACATTCGGTTGTGTATATATGTCGATGCTACTCTCACTTTGCCCCAGCTTCCCTTTCCCACTCCATGTCCTCAAGTTCATTCTCTATGTCTACATCTTTATTCCTGCCTTGCAACTAGGTTCATCAGCACCATTGTTTGTTTGTTTGTTTTTAGATTCCATATATATGCGTTAGCATACTGTATTTATTTTTTTCTTTCTGATTTACTTCACTCTCTGTGACAGACTCAAGGTCCATCCACCTCACTACAAGTAACTCAATTTTGTTTCTTTTTATCGCTTAGTAATATTCCATTCACATTGTTTTG